CTCCAGATCCTACCTTATTGAGTGTCCCTAGAGGGAGCCACTTACTTCTCACAAAGTATGGTAGGAAGAGTCAGCATAACCCGTGGATGGTACGGCAGCTCTCTTGTTCTGGGCAGAGCCACCATCATACTGGGAGAACAATGGAACAGTCCGTGGCAAGAACTCCACCCTGAGGAATGGCAACGTCACACCAGTTACCACATGAGTGGGCTTACAAGTGGAGGCTGCAGTTCCATTTGGGTCTTCAGATAGCCAGGATCACTACCTAAGCCTCTTTCAGATCCTGTGTGTAATGAGAAATGTTTGTTGTTTTAAGCTGCTAAATTTTGGGACAATTTGCTTTGAAGCAATGGGTAACTAATATACGAGAGGTGGCCAAAATGTGTACCAATACTGGACTATGGGACTGTAATTTCATACAAATTTTGAGATCAATTTGGCAATACCTGGTAAAAATGAAGGTATGTGTGACCTGCATGCAGTAATGGCAGTCCTGGGCTCCCTCCTAGGGAGGTACCCATACACACACAGGGACACATGGACAGGAGTGTTCACTGTGGTGGCTTCAGTTTCCCTAGAATGAGTTATGCCTTGTTCTTTTAAAAAGGAATGTCTAAATGTAAATAAATATCAGAAACATTGATAAGGAGAAAATGCAAGTAGTATGAGTCCGTTTATGTATAATTTTAAAACATGCAAAACTGTTTATGGACAGCATAAACAACTAGTTTGGTGCTGGCCATCAAACAGGGCAGTGGAGTAGCAGGGAGAGGGGAATTGATTCTGGAAAGACTCAGGGGCTCTAGAGTGTTCCAGCAATTCTGAAGAACTCCCTGGAAAAACTCCAAAACAAAACCCCAGAGAACCACAACTAAAAGAGCTGAACCAAAGAGCAAATACAGGAAAATGCTACACTCTGGTGCGGCTGGGATCCTTGGGTCTTTTCTATTTTCTCTCTACTTTTGGGTTGTTTGCTACTGATTTAGGCCTTCCAGAGTACAGAAACCCTTCTGGCTCTCATCTCCAAGGTGGTCTTGCACGTTCTCAGGTAGCCAGTTAGAGCTTCACTCATGAGCTATCCTTACCCTGCAGGGGATGCTGGGCTGGAACTGGCTAGCTGGAGGGGACAGGGAGGCTTTGCACTCAGTCAGGAAGGGACTCAGATGCCAGCACTGCTCCTCCTGTGACAGATATTTACTGGATATTTAAAATATTCCCTTGTATTCGATTCAATAGTCTTATTCTTTTGCTTTTATCATTAATTCAATACAGCTTGGAATTTAATTTTAGAACAGTGTGAGATTGGGATTCAATCTAGCCTTTTTCTCCTCTTTATGGAAATCCTAACTTTATTGAAAACTCTGTCTTTTTCTCACTGACTTAAGGTTCCTAAATTTCTTGTATATTTGGACAATTTCTGGAGTCTGGGATTTTTTTCACTTGTCCCTGTACAAATATTATTTGGTCTTTTTTTTTTTTTTTTTTGAGACAGAGTCTCACTATGTCACCCTTGGTAGAGTACCATGGCATCACAGCTCACAGAAACCGCAAACTCTTGGGTTTAAGCAATTCTCTTGCCTCAGCCTCCCAAGTAGCTGGGACTACAGGTGCCTGCCACAATGCCCAGCTTTTTTTTGGTTGTAGTTGTCATTGTTTGGCAGGCCCGGGCTGGATTGGAAACCACCACCAGCTTTGGTATATGTGGCTGGCGCCCTAGCTGCTGAGCCTATTATTTGGTCTTAATAGCTACAATTCGATGTAATTTTTTGATATGCAAAAGGGCAATTCTGTTCTCCTTGAGTTTTCCTTTCTTTTCTTTTCTTTCTTTTTTTTTTTTTTTCTGAGACAAGATCTCTCTCTGTTAACCAGGCTGGAGTGCAGTGATCATAGCTCATAGCCTTAAACTGCTTGGCTTATGTGAGCTGACTGCCTTGGCCTCTCAGAATGCTAGGATTATAGGTGTGCACCACCAAGGCTGCCCTCTTTTCTTTTAAGATTTTTTTGGGCCCAGCACACTCACACCACATAAGCCTAGTACTCTGAGAGGCCGAGGCAGGAAGATCACTTGAGCTATAGGAGTTCAAGACCAGCATGGGCAAGAGCGAGACCTTGTGTCTACTAAAAATAGAAGAAATGTGTCAAACATGATGGTGGGCACCTGTAGTCTACTACAGGGCTACTTGGGAGGCTGAGGCAGGAGGATTGTTTTATTTTTATTTTTAGAGACAGAGTCTCACTTTGTCGTCCTCGGTAGAGTGCTGTGGCATCACAGCTCACAGCAACCTCCAACTCCTGGGCTTAAGTGATTCTCTTGCCTCAGCCTTCCGAGTAGCTGGGACTACAGGCACCCACCACAATGCCTGGCTATTTTTTTTCTTGCAGTTTGGCGGGGGCCAGGTTTGAACCTGCCACCCTTGGTATGGGGGGCTGGCACCCTACTCACTGAGCCACAGGCACCACTCTTTTATTTTTATTTTATTTTTTTGAGACAGACCCTCAAGCTGTCACCCTGGTAGAGTGCTGTGGTAACACAGCTCACAGCAACCTCCAGCTCCTGGGCTCAAGCGATTCTCTTGCCTCTGCCTCCCAAGTAGCTGAAACTACAGGTGCCAGCTACAATGCCTGGCTATTTTCTGGTTGTAGCCATCATTGTTGTTTGGTGGCCTGGGCTGGATTCGAACCCACCAGTTCAGGTGTATGTGGCTGGTGCCTTAGCTACTTGAGCCACAGATGCTGAGCCAGGAGGATTGTCTGAATCCAAGAGTGTTAAGTTGTTGTAAGCGAGGCTGAATCCACAGCACTCTAGCCTGTGGCAACAGAGTGAGACATGATATTTGCAGATGACTTTAGGGTCAGTTTATTTATTTATGTATTGAGACAGTCTCTCTATGTAGCTCTCAGTAGAGTGCTGTAGTGTCACAGCTCACAGCAACCTCAAACTCTTGGGCTTAAGTGATTCTCTTGCTTCAGGCTTCCAAGTAGCTGGGATTACAGGTACCTGCCACACTGCTCGCCTATTTTTTTGTTGTAGTTGTCATTGTGGTTTAGCTGGCCTGGGCCAGGTTCCAACCTGCCAGCCCCAGTGTATGTGGCTGGTGCCCTAACTACTGAGCTATGGGTGCTGAGCTGGAATCAGTTTATTAAGTTATTTGAAAAATTCTGTGGACATTTTGATTGAGATTATATCATTTTACAACTAGCTTGTGAAGACTTTACATATTTACAACTTTGCCTCCCTGTGAGAATAGGACTTCTTTCTGATTTGGCTTGTGCGCCTGTTAAGTTCTACAGTTAAGATTTAGAGTTCTTCAAAAATGTGGTTATGGCTGGGCACGGTGGCTCAGGCCTGTAATTCAGCATTCTGGGAGGTTGAGGCAGTGGTTTGCTTGAGCTCATGAGTTCAAGACCAGCCTGAGCAAAAAAGTGAGACCCCTGTCTCTATTAAAAATAGAAAAACTGAAGCAAGAGGATCGCTTGAGCCCAAGAGTTAAAGGTTGCTGTGAGCTAAGATGCCACAGCACGCAACCCAGGGCAACAGCTTGAAACTCTATCTCAAAAAAAAAAAAAAAAAAGTGCTCTTGGGCGGTGCCTATGGCTCAAAGGAGCAGGGCACCGGCCCCTTATGCCGGAGGTGGCGTGTTCAAACTCAGCCCTGGCCAAAAACTGCCAAAAAAAAAGTGCTCTTGCACCTTTCTTTTCTCTTTTATAATTGAGACAGAGTCTCACTTTGTCACCCTCTGTAGAGTACTGTAGCGTCATAGGTCACAGCAACCTCAAACTCTTAGACTGAAGCGATTAATTTGACTCAGCCTCCCAAGTAGCTGGGACTACAGACACTCACCACAACACCTGGCTATTTTTTGTTTGTTTGTTTCTTTGTTTAGCATGCCCCGGTCAGGTTGGAACCCATCAGCCCTGGCGCATGTGGCCAGGGCCCTAATCCGCTACATGCGCCCCATGAACCTTTCTTTTCTTTCTTTCCTTTCTTGCTCTCTTTCTCCCTTCTCTTCCCCTCTCTTCCCCTCTCTTCTCCTCCCCTCCCCTCCCTTCCCCTCCCCTCGTCTCCTCTTTCCTTTCCTCTCCTCATCACAGCTCAGTCTCCAACTCCCGGGCTCAGGCCATCCTCCTACTTCAGCCTCCCTAGTCTCCCTGAACACAAGATGCAGCCTCCCACCCTGGGCTCTCGTATCTTTTTAGGCTAATTCCCGGGGTGGTCGTGGTGTGCTGCGACTGTGATGACATCTGCAGATATTCGAGGGCCCGCGCAGGTTGCACTATGGGCTTGGGCCACACAGTGATGTAGCTGTCATAGGAAACAAGAGGTGGCCACAAGAAATTTTCAGAAAGTGGGCAGTCCTGGCAGAACAGAAAAAGGGGCGAGGACTGCGCATGGGGAGGCTCTGGAACCACGGCGCGTGGCGGGGTGGGTGCTGCAAGCGCGGAGGGCCGGGCGGGACGCCCCGAGGCTGGGGTCTTGGAGCTAGGACTTGGGCAGCTGGGTACGTGAGCGCAGCTTCCCCAGGCTCTGCGGCCAGATCCAGCTCCAGCTCTAACTCGGAGTCCCGCCCCAGGACGTGCTCAGTCTCAAGGCCCGCCATCCTTCCCTGGCCCCGCCTTCTGTCCCGTCTCATGCCCGCCCCCAGCTCTGTGGCCCATCCCAGACGGTGCTCAGCTCCAAAGGCCTGTCCTCCCCCATGGCCCCTCCCCAGACACGCCCACCACCGGGAGAGCTCAGGGCTCGGCCCCGCCCCCAGACACGCCCATAGTTCCGGCCCCGCCCCGCCTCCTCCAGCCGCTGCTGCTGCGCCGCGGGAGAGGCCTACCGGCTCGCGGTGAGGAGGGTCAGCGGCCGCTTCGGCCCAGAAGTCGTCAGTTCGAGACCTTGCTTAGCCGCCGCTGCCCCAGTGTTTGACCCAGTACTACGAGCACGGCCGTTGCGGGCGGCGCGACCTGGGCGCTCGCGGCGAATCTGCGGCTGCGAATCTGCGGCTGCGAATCGCGAGAGCGGCGGAGCCTGGGCGGGCGCTGTGGGGCCTGGGCGGACGCGCGGAGGCACCGCGACCCAGGACCGCGGGCCGGGGGGCAAGCCCTGGTTCCGCACGGCCGCGGCATCATGACCGGCCGCGTGTGCCGCGGCTGCGGCGGGACGGACATCGAGTTGGACGCGGCGCGCGGCGACGCGGTGTGCACTGGCTGCGGCTCGGTGCTTGAGGACAACATCATCGTGTCCGAGGTGCAGTTCGTGGAAAGCAGCGGCGGGGGCTCCTCGGCAGTGGGCCAGTTCGTGTCGCTCGACGGTGGGTCCGTGGGACGTAGTGCGGGGCGGTAGGCACTGAGGGCCAGCGGGACCGAGGGGACAGCGGGGCGTGCGGGGCCGGGGCCCCTGCGGGCACGGCGGGCGGGGGCGGGCCGGCTGTGAGGGTAACGGTGATTCTGAACCCGGGTTTCCAGGAGAGGCGGCGAGCAGACTTGGGCAGCGGCCTGGGGCTCGGGCGGACGCGGGGTTTATCTGGTGTACAGCCGCGGGTTTGACTGGCTGAAGGATCGATCGGCTGTCACCGCAGTGGGGATGAAGGAAGTTCCATCAGCCTAGGAAGTTCTGGAGCCTCTGGCACCTGCTGCTCTGGGCTCGAACTGTAATTGTGTTTTTTCAGGAATGTCTGATACTTGGAATCGGATTATCCAGAACATTTGGGGCCAGGTGCCGTGGACATTAGAGGTCTTCTAACTATTTTTTTAATGTCTGACCAGAATTTCAGGGTTGGACAAACCAGGGTTTCTTGAAGTATGTTTTATTTAGATTGTGGCCAGTTTCAGGTATTTATGACTGGAGTTGCTACAGGCATTCATGCTTAACTCTGTGTGCACATAAGTTTTCATTTGTCTTGGGAAGTTAGTTATATGGTTAACTCTCTAAGAAATAGACTCTTTGAGTGTGCTGTACCATTTCTCAGTTCCATATCTGCACCAGTACTTGCATTGTCCTTGTTTTCTATTTTAGTCATTTAATAGCTGTTTGGTATCTCATCATGATGTTAATGTGCATTTCCTTAATGACAAGTAATGTTAATCGTCTTTTAATATACTTATTTTCTATCCCTGAATCTTTTTTGCTGAAATGTCTGTTCAAGTCTTTCGCTCATTATTTTTTGTGTGTGTGGGGTGTTTCTTAGGTTGAGTTTTTAGATCTTTGTATAGTCTTGTTACAAGTCCAGTCCTTTGGGTGGCGCCTGTGGCTCAGTGGGTAGGGCGCTGGCCCCATATGCTGAGGGTGCCAGGTTCAAACCTGGCCTGGGCTGAACTGCAACAAAAAAATAGCCGGGCGTCCGTGCTTGTAGTCCCAGCTACTCAGGGGGGAGGGGAGGAGCTGGGGGCGGGGCTGAGGCAAGAGAATCGCCTAAGCTCAGGAGTTGGAGGTTACTGTGAGCTGTGTGATGCTACAGCACTCTACCGAGGGCGATAAAACGAGACTCTGTCTCTAAAACAAACAAACAAGTCCAGTCCTTTGTTAGCAGATGCTTTTATTTTTTTAAGAGACAGGGTCTCTCTGTCACCCGGGCTGGAGTGCAGTGGTGCTGTCATAGTTCACTGTAGCCTTGAACTCCTGGGCTAAAGTGAACCTTCTGTCTCAGCCACTTGAGTTGCTGGAATCACAGCCACAGCTCCTGGCTAGAAGTTTTAAATTTATTTTTTCTTTTTTTTTTTCTTTTTTTTTTTTTTTTTTTTTTTTTTTTGACAAGGTCTCACTTTGTTGCCTGGGCTAGAGTGCAGTAGTATCATCAGAGCTTACTATAACCTCAAACTCCTAGGCTCAAGCAATTTCTCCTGCCCAAGTAGCTGGGACTGCAGACACACCACCATGCCTAGTTGAGTTTTCTTTTTTCTTTCTTTCTTTTTTTTTTTGGAGACAGAGTCTCACTTTGTTGTCCCCAGTAGAGAGCTGTGGCATCATAGCTCACAGCATCCTCAAGCTCCTGGGCTCAAGTGATTCTGTTGCCTCAGCCTTCTAAATAGCTGAGATTATAGAAGCTTGCCACAATGCCCGGCTAGATTTTTCTATTTTTTTGTAGAGAAAGAGTCTTTCTGTGTTGCTTAGGCTGGTCTTAAACTGCTGGTCTCAAGCGATCCTCCTGCCTCAGCCTACCTAAGTGCCAGGATTACAGCCATGTGCCACAGTGCTCAGCCTGAAAGTTTTAAATTTTAACTAAAATTTTTATATTTTGATTAAGTTCAATTTGTCGATTTTTTTTTGAGGCAGAGTCTTACTACGTTGCCCTCAGTAGAGTGCTGTGGTGTCACAGCTCACAGCAACTTCAAACTCTTGGGCTTAAGTGATTCTCTTGCTTCAATCTCCCAAGTAGCTGGGATTATGGGCGCCTGCCACAATGCCTGGCTATTTTTTTTGTTGCAGTTGTTGTTTAGCTGGCCCTGGCTGGGTTTGAACCTTCCAGCCCTGGTGCATGTGGCCAGCGCTATAACCACTGTGCTATGGGCACTGAGCCAATTTGTCGATCTTTTTCTTTTATAGATTGTACCTTTGGTATCATACCCAAGAAGTCTACCTAACCCAAAGTCATTATAACATGACAATTTCCTTCTAAAAGTTTTTTGTTTTAGTGTTAGATATATGAGCCTTTTTTTTTTTTTTTTGCAGCTTTTGGCCGGGGCTGGGTTTGAACCTGCCACCTCCAGCATATGGGGCCAGCACCCTACTCCTTTGAGCCACAGGCACCATCCTGACATATGATCCATTTTAAGTCAAGTTTTTTGTAAGGTTCAATCTTACAAAGATTGTACCTTATATGTTGAGGTTCACTTTTTGCATGTGGATGTCCAGTTGTTTGAGCACCATCTGTTTAAAGCAGTGTTTTTCAACCTTTTTGTATCTCATGGCACACTTGAACCTATTAACTTCAGTGGCACACCTAAATTATGTTGATCAAAAAAAAAAAAGAGTGAAAAAAAGGAATATTTTTACCGTGCTTTGAATTTCTTTCAAAAGTAATTTAATTAATAATCTTTAAAAATTTTCACAGCACACCTAAGACCCTGTCATGGTATACCAGTTGAAAATCACTGGTTAAAGACTGCCCTTTCTCCACTAAATTGCCTTTGCTTCTTTGGCACAGATCACAGGACCATGTCTGTGTGCGTCTGTGGATAGACACTCTTTTCCATTCCATTGATCAAGATGCCATTTTGTTTTTTATTTTTTTAAGTTATCTGCTTAAACAAGGAGAAGATGCCATTTTCTCTGTTAGCATCACACTGTCCTGTCTACTGTACATTTTATATTGTCTTGAAATCAAATACTGTGAGTCCGCTACCTTTATTTTTCCTTTTAAAAATTATTGTAGCTATTGTAAATACTTTTCCTTTCCCTTTAATTTTAAAGTAGGGTGGTGCCTGTGACTCAGTGAGTAGGGCGCCAGCCCCATATACTGAGGGTAGCGGGTTCAAACCCATCCCCGGCCAAACTGCAACAACAACAACAAAATAGCCGTGCATTGTGGCCGGCACCTGTAGCCCCAGCTACTTGGGAGACTGTGGCAGGAGAATCGCCTAAGCCCAAGAGCTGGAGGTTGCTGTGTGCTGTGACACCACAGCATTCTACCTTGGGTGACAAAATAAGACTCTGTCTCTAAAAAAAAAAAAATAATAATAATTTTAAAATAAGTCTGCGTATATCTGCAGGTTTTTAATATCTTCTATATGAAGTGCTTATGACCAGAAGTGTTTAGAATTTTGGATTTCTTTGGATTCTGGAATATAATATTCTGCATTATACCTGGCTGAGCATCCCTTATCAGAAAATCTGAAATCCAAGATGCTTAGATGAGCATTTCCTTTTAGTGTTATGTTGGTGCTCACAAAGTTTCAGATTTTCCAGCATTTTGGATTTCAGATTTGGGATGTTCAACTTGTACAAAAGTCTTGCTGGGATTTTGATTGTAGTTATGTTAAATCTCTTGTTAAATGCAGCAAGATTGACACTTTTACTGTGCTAAGTCTTCCAGTTCATAAACATAACATGTCTCTGCATTCATGTAGGTTTTCTTTGATATAGTCCATCAGTGGTGGATGGACTGTGGTTTTGAGCATGTAGTGCATTTTTTAGATGTATACTCCTGAGATCTATTTGTTTTGTTTGTTGTTTTTGTTTGGAGACAAGGTCTTCAAAGATGTGTTGCTGAGGCTGATCTCAAACTCTTGGCCTCAAGTGATCCTTCTACCTTGGCCTCCCAAAGTGCTGAGATTACAGGCATGAGCCACTCTGCCTGGCCTAGTTAGTATTTTTTTTTTAAATTCAGTTTTCAGCTGTTGGTTGATTTCTCACACATGTGTTGGCCTGTTTCCTGTGCCCTTGACAAACTTATTAGCCTTGGGAGTCTTTATAGATAGACTCCCTGAGATTTTCATAGACAGTCATGTGTGTATAAAGACCATTACTTTCTTCCTTTTGTTTCCCTTCTTTGCCTTAAAGCTGGCATTTTTGCCTTGTTCCTGATCTTAGGGGCAGGCAGGCAGTCTCTTACTGTTCTATGTGATATTAGCTGCAGAATTTTATTACCAGTACTTCGTCAATAATGTTGAGGAAGAACTTTTCTAGTTCTAGTTTGCTTAGAGATTTTTATCATTGAGTGGATGTTGAATTTTGTCAGATGCTTTTTCTACACCAACTGATAAAATCATGTTTTTCTTCTGTAGTCTATCATGTAGCTGATTTTGTTTGTTTGTTTGTTTGTTGAGGCTGAATCTTCCTTTGTCACCCAGGCTAGAGTGCTGTGTCATCATAGCTTACAGTAACCTCAAACTCCCACGCTCTAGTGATCCTCTAGTCTCAGCCTCCTGAGTAGCTGGGACTACAGGCACCGGCCACCACACGTGGCTGATTTTTTAATGTCCCCCAGTGGGACATGGGGTGTTATTCTTTGTAATGTGTTGCTGGATTAGCTTTGCTAATTTTTTTTTTGAGGAGTTTTTGTTTATAGTCACATGGGATATTGGTCTGTGGTTTTCTTGTAATGTCTTTGTCTTGGCTATAAAGGCAGTGTGCCTTATAGAATGGGTTGGGAACTATTTCCTCGTCTATTTTCAGGAAGAAATCGTGTAGAATTGGTGTTACTTCTTTTTGGAATGTTTGATAGAATTCACCAGTATATACATCTAGGTCTGAAGGTTTTTTTAAAAGTTTCTTAACTGTGGCTTCAGTTTCTTTCATAGGTGAAATTATAGTTTTATATGTATATATGTATACTTATTTTTAGAATCAAGATCTCACTCTATCACCCATGTG